ATTCCTTCTATCTCTTCCATGGGTGTATATGTTGCTGGACCTTATGATTCTTGCTTTATTTGGACATCTTTCCAAGGACATTTGTTGATGAACTCATTGAACTGTTTTACAAATCACATCCATGGACTTCCGTTAGCAAGTAATGCATTAGTTCGTGAAATGTTTATACACTCTATGCATATGCATGTCCGAGTGTGGGTGCATCACATGTTCACAGGCATGTTAACTCGTTTTTGAGACCCACTTTGTATTTTTGACTTTCAATGCTAAATGGTTCAGTTCTAAAGTGGCCTTCTGTTTAACAGATAAATCAGTTGTACCCAAGTCAGTAAGTGATATAAAACTCATACATGCTGGCAAAGTTTTGGAGAATGGCAAGACGCTGGCAGAATCCAGAGTACATTTTGGTGACCTTCCTGGTGGCGTTAGTACTATGCATGTTGTGGTGCAGCCTCCTGTCCCAAAAAAGAAGACAGGTTTGTTTTAGTTTCTTTTCCCTGAGATTTATATATATATATATATATATTTCATGTAGAATTTTAGATTTAATAAAATTTTCAGGGTTAATTCTATCAAGTTTTGACTTTGGAGCTTTTAGTATAGTAGCAAGAAATGCCTCTTTTATTTTGGGAATCCTATTTCTATCATTTACAAGTGCAGACTCAGGGCTATTGCACAGCTTATAGGCATAACATAACTATGAAGTTACTAGTAGTTTTTAGTGAAGGACCTTAGTGAGAACTAGTATCTGGTTTCAGTTATTGGACAGCTTTACCCTGAGAATTAGCATGAATTAATTTTTACTGTGATATAAAGTTACCAGATAATATTTAATTCTTTAAGGATCTTCATTTTGGAACCCATACTTCAAAAATGATAAACATGCATGCATTACTCAATCTAATGACTTCAAATTTTGTGGTCAGGATGTGGCAAATTGAAATTTAACTGTGCATCTTGATATCAAGGGCTGTTTAGAAATGTAACTAATACATAGCTTAGCATCAATAAGGCTTTAACTCAAACACAACACATAGCTTCCCCTGAATGAAAAAATTTTGTTCTAAGATCTCAGTTCTATGCAGGTTCTGCAAGCTTGCATCGATTTGAAGGTTTGGGAGCTCTTTGCGAGATTTTGAATGACATTTTAACAAAGCCCTTGAGAAGAGGATATGATGAGTTGTTTTATTCTGTAGGTAGATGTAACTCTAATATATAATCTGTTCATTGAATAGTTGAATGCTACAAGAAATGCTTGTGGCACTGGCCTTATAATTTGGAAATGATGCTTTTGAAATCTTTATTAGTTTATGATATACAATCTAGATGTTACGTATTAATGAATTAGAGCATGGTATTTGTTTGTCATTGAAATATCTTTTGATTAAGCCTCTTTGAATGTAATGAGCATTTTTATTTTATTTTTTTGAATTTTAATTTGGAGATGAACAAATGGTCTGGTGATATATTTGATATTTTCTGTTTGGTTGTTGAGAAATCAATAAAAGAATATAAGTTGATGTTCAAACTAGTATTTTTAGAGTAATTGTTACAAAATCAAAAATAAATAAAAATTATTATACTTTTAGAGATCAATTTTAGTTGTTTCAAAAAAATTATAACCTTTAAACTGAAACTTTTAGTCACCACTTTCACTTGTTCCAAAAATTAAAACTTTTAGTGACTAATTTGTTTTGTCTCAAAAATTATTTTTTTGTCTCCATAAGTGCTTCTTTTGCCCTGGACTGTTATTAGACGTTTAGAGACAAATTTTGATTGTCTCAAAATTAAAACTTTTTGTAACAACATATTTTTGTCTCAAAAAGTCTATTTATAGTGACAAATGCAAAATTTTGTCTCTAAAAGTCATTTTTGGACTTTTCCAGACGAATTATTTGGCACAAACTTTGGGACGGAGGAAATTGGTTGGTTAAAGTTTTTCCCAACAAATATTACACTTTTAGCGACGGAATAAATTTGTCCCTAAAAAGCTGATTTCTTGTAGTGAATATCTGGTGTGATTCTTTTTACTCCCAAAAAAAAAATTGAAAAAAAGATTTATAACCTGGTTAAAATAATTTTGCAGGGTGTTCATCCTTGTGATAGGAGGAGAAGCATCAGTGACTATTAATGCCTTTTTCCAGCGGTGGATTTTTCACCAGCAAGTATTTTGATCCTAGTTATGCTTATGTAAAGTGGTACTAAACATTTGTCTGCAATGCTATCATTACAATCATTTGAACATATTCAAGCATGGTCATATTACATTCATAATACCTTTTGACTTTGTTAGATAGAAAGTGACGATGATTTATTATGGAAAGCCAATATAAGAGAGACAAAGGAAGAACTTGCAGCTAGGGGTATGGAGTTCATGAATTGGTGAATACCTTTTTATATTCATGTCAATAAAGTGGATTTATTGATTCTTTCTAGATCCTTCAATGCATTTTAAAAGTACCTTAGTCAAATAAATGTGAATTAAAGATTGCGCATGAAACTTTAGACTCCAAGACTTTTACCCCAATTATCTTCTCATGTTTCAATATTAAATTATTGAGTATGAAAAATGTGTTGTCATGGTAAAAAGTGTTTTATTAAATTGTGTATTGGCGTCACATGATAATTTCATTTCAGGTGCCTAAATGTATGCACAAGATGCTCAATGTGCTGTCATAATAATTCTCAGTAACCACCTGAAGAACACAGATCCCTTTGTGTAGTCCTGAGTTGTATATTTAGCTTGACTCTTATCCTTTTCTATTGCATTAGGTAGTCTGGTGTACATGTCCTTTTCAACTCATCATTCACAAGAACATCTATAATTCTATATGTGTAGCTCCATTTCATATCAGTTTATTTATTTATTTTTGGTGGGTAATTTTCATCTCAATTAGTGATGAACATGTATTTAAATGGTTCCCAATAAATAAAAGTTAGAATAAAACACCACACATGTTTAATAAATAAGCATGAATAAATAACATTGCCAATCAAATTCTATAGAGTGGGCTGCATAACTCTATAGGGTTCTCAATCTGTGGCCCTTGCATGTTTTTCAAAAACAAAAAATTGGTTCCTTTTAATTATCAAAGTTATTGACATTTTTGCATGCAATGTTTTGACAGGTATGTTGACACTTTTAACAAAGGGGCTAGGAATCAAACAAACTTATTCCAATCACCTTGACTTCCATCCATCCATCAAACCTGCTAGTGGTGGTAATCCAAATTTTTTTCGTTCCCACACGAGCATCTTCTAGTGAACAGACATTTGATACTGCAACAGATAGTACACAAGAAACTTCATCAATTACTGAAAATATCTCAAATCCCATTACCAATAACTCATTCCAACAAATGGATTATATTAAGTTTTCCTTTTATAATTGTTATAATTTGAAATGTCAATTTTTTTAGAAATCCAATATTTTTGTATGTAATAATTAATTTAGATGGATTATACTTGGTTGGTGTGGGTTTATATGATATTTGGAATATGATGTTACAAGTTAATGTTTTTGGATATGAGTATTATTGATAATGAATTTAGATGATAATTGATAGATGTATTATTCTGTACATGTACAGGTTATAAGTTGCATTGATAATAGAATGCATATAATTTAGAAATTAATAAAAAAATATTCAATTTATGCATTTTAAAAAAATTAATAAATAAAGCTTTTGGTGACTAAACATTTAGCAGCCAAAAATAAGAAGGGAATTTGTTGGCGACTAAATAGTTAGTATCCAAAAAAAATGAAAGTTTTTGATGACTAAAAAATTAGTAGCCGAAAAGGAGCACTATAATTTTAGCGACTAAAAAGTTGGTAGCCAAAAAGGATTGTGACGTATTTAGCAACTAAATATTTTAGTTGCTAAAACAAAAAAGCACATTTATTGGAAATTTTGGGCTACTAAATTTTTAGTCGTCAATTGCCGACTTTTGGCAACTAAAAAAAAATTGGTCGCCAATACATTTTGGCTACTAATTTTTTAGTCGCCAATTTAGGACTTTCGGCGACTAAATATTTTTTAGTCGCCAATACCTTCCCCAACAATCTTCCCACGACCAAGCTATTTAGTCAGGAAATCTTTTCGGTGACTAAAATTTTGACTTTTGAAAAATGCAATTTCTTGTAGTGGTGGAATTGAATAATCATTCTTTAATCTCCCACTAACATGACTATTCGTTTACAATGTAAATATTAATTCAATTCGCAATACATTTTTTTTTCCTTTCATTTTTTAGTGTAAGAATGAACATTCTGATGAATGATAATTTCAAACGGCCTTCATTCTAATAAGCTAAACACTACCTAAATCTTTATAATAGTAAAACTATAAATGATACACTTGTACCCTTGAAAAAGGCATAAATTACACTTTGCACCCTTGTACTTTATATCAAATTTTACTTTGGTCCCCTACACATGAAATCATGACAGTTAACTTCCGGCAATTCTAGTCAAATCTCACTTTGGTCCTTACACATGAAATCTTTAACAAAATACAATCATATGACAAAAATGTGACTACGAAAAGAGAGTAAGAGAGAAAAATCAACAATATTTTCCACCAATACACTTTGTCTTACATAATAAATAAGTGAGAGTTATATAATACAATATATATATATATATATATATATTCGTATACTAAAAATTGGGACGAAGAGGCAAGAAAATATAATTTTTGACATAAATAAAAAAATGTGACCAAGAAATTAAAGAGAAATGAAGATGAATAGATAGAAAATTGTGTTACCGTGAAAAACAGAGTTTCATGATTCCAATTAATACAAAACTTTAGTTCATCTTCTTAATCGTTCACAATTTGCATTTTGGTTTAACTTAATACAGTCATAATTTGATGTAAGTTTTGGAACATTAATACTTGTGTAGAGACCAAAGTAAGATTTGACCCATGGTCACTTTCATAATTTGATCTGGTTAACATAAATTCTTAACCATAGTTTAAAATCCAAACATAGCCTTAGGATAGCAAAAGTTGTAATCGATATAGAAAGCGTTCAATAGTAAATACTGAGCATATTAATACATTCTCAGATTATTATACTCGTAATAGAGCTGAGTGTAATCGGACTCATTACACAAATACCCCTTTCTTCCGACTAATCCATCAACAAAGTTCAAATTTCATTTTATTCTTTGATGAGTGAAACAGGCTCAAATAACAGTTTTAAGACTCTTATTTTTGATTTGTTATCTGGAGCTCCATGGGCATCCCCGTACTGGTATATGCAATGAGTAGTCCTCACCAAGTTTAGAATTATGTCCATCAAAGGTCTAGAAAATGGAGTATTGTTGCTTGCTAGACCTTTGTTCATCTTCTTCCATGTCTCATCAATCAAGTTTCTCATTTGTTCACAAGCCAATTCCTCTGAAAGTTTGGTTTCATTCATGTAACATGGGATCGACTTTGCAGTTATATCTCCCTTCAAGTCAGCCTGCATTATAATGACTTTGCAGTTATTATCATCATGATTAATCTAAATTGGTTAGATTGTATTACCAGCAACCTTGGGATTGCATTGTAGCATGAGAAAGATTATATAAGATTGCATACTGATGAAGAAGCCAAATCATTGCAAAGTCGAAAAATGATGGATGGGTGGTAGAAAAGGTCATTGTGTTGATCAAAGCAATCTAGTGCCTGCTTTGTGATGTTCTGATCTATTAAGCAATAAGCATGAACCAGTATAACTACTGCAGATGACGAAAGTCATGCATTATCCATATAATCTTTGAACTTTGGTGTGGCTTTTGTGTGGTACCACTTTGCTTCTACTAGGAAAGCTTTGCATAAATCTGCCCACTGAAATAAAATAGATGGAACAAGATTAAGTTAAAAGAAAACTAAAAATTTCACATAATTTCAGAATAGAAAGTATTGGCCTGATGAATATGAGGCATGGATTCAAGCCTTATAGTTGTGAGATGCAACTTTCATTCCTGTTCTCCTCTAAAAAAAAGGAGCGACTCAATGTATGAAGCTCTGGCTAAAGTGGGGCCTAAGAAGTTTTAGATGTAATAAGTCTTACTCTCATTTTCGGAAAGGCTGCTTCTCTGACTCAAATCCAGTATGCTGGAAACGCTAACAACCTAGTCTTACCCCTTAACTTAAACAAAGAAAAAAATGAAAATATATGAATTTGATATTGAATGCACATACTGCTTTTTTTAGTTGTGATATAGTGTTCACTCCCTGTTCTTTAAAATTGTCATAGGCCATTTCATTTACAGTACTATAGAGTGCTTGGAAGCATAGTTTCAGGCAGTCTGAAAGATTTTCAATAGCATCCATACTCCACCTGACAACATGAAAAAAGTTTGAAAATATAGTTTAGTGAATGCATAATTTGAATTTGCTCTAACACCCAAGAAAAATGCTCTATTTAATTGAGCATGATGGTTATGTGATTCTTTTATAGTTTGAAAACAAACCTCTCAATTGCTTCTGTAAATTGCTCTAGTTCTTTCAACGAACCATACATATCGTAGACGTCATCAATAATAACTATTAGTGCAATCAATTTTGTCATCCCCTTACGAAAATTACTGAATTGAGGTTCAAAGACCATTCCAACTGAACAGAAGAAGTTTTCTACTATCCTATCCCTTATAAAGCTCAACTTGTTTGCTAGTCCCATATATCTCCACCACCTACAGGAATAGAAAAACCAATTATTTCTCAACATTGCAAGTCTTAAAAATGCATTATATCCATCAAGTTCTAAATCGGCTGGAGTTATCAATCTAATCATTTTACACAATGTTTAGATTATGGATTTTTTGATAAGGATTTGAAAAGACAAATGGTAGTGGGTTGTTTGGTGGAGGTATATATGTTCATCTAAGTCCCAACCAAATCCACGGACATGAGGGTACACCAAAATATTCATATTTCTTAAAACCATTATCCAAACGCAACCTTAATGAATTTGATAAAAATTTAAGAAGATGAAGCATTGGAGATGGTTTTTTTTTTTTTTTTCATCAAATTTGATAAAAAGAGAAATTTCGGACAAGTGGGAAATTTTTAAAAAGATTTTGATAAAAATTTGATCAAAGGAATGGAGTAATTCATATCAAATCAAACTTTTTGCTCCCATTTGGAATCAAATTAAATAATAAAATTGGTAAAGGGTTAGAGATGCTGTGAGGAATTTATAAAAAGTAAAAGAAACAAACATTAATTACAACATGCAAATAAAGTGAATTTGATACTAAAATTAGGTCATCACATTGTTACTACTTCAAAATTGCCAAATTGTTTTTTCAAAACACATAAGATATGTTAATAAACTCTCCTCTCCTTATTATGGACTTACCTTGACATGTCTTGAAGTTCACTTAGATGTGTTGATTGCACCATGTTAAAATCGAGCACTGCAAGTTCAAGCAGCACATGATTTGCATCTAATCTTCTAGCATATGCCTCGATATATTCTCTAGCTTCTAGCCTCAGCATTCGACGGTGCAAAGGGAGTTCCAATGCATGATTCACTTGTTCTGCAAGGCTGGGATCGATAATATTAATCTTCCCCAAGTGGTGTCTGAGATGTATGCCAATAAATGATTTGGCATCATCCAAAATGTTTTCTCCTTCAAAACCAAGATATGAAGCTTCATGCAAACTCAACATTCCCTTCCCATCATTGCAATGGCATGCCTTAAATTTGCCATTGTCGTCCATAAAATGCTTGAAAATATCTGGTCTCACATGAACACAACCTTATCAATTCACTTTATGTGCCTCGAATTATGTGTGTCTGTATTTTTATTCACAAGAAAATCAAAACTGCGTGGTTTGGGATCATTTTTTTAGTTTTCAGCTAAGAACAAGATGCTCATGGTACATCTGCAAGGAATGCAATGGAAGGTACTTGAATTGGAGAGAGATTGCAGAAAAATGCAATCCCAAATGACAAATATCATGAAATCAAGATTATCAAGCCACAGTAATGCCAAATCTTTACCCAAGCTATGCTCATGACAGATAATTTTCATTATAAAAAATAAAAAATAAAATTATTCATAACAACTTCCTTACATTAAATGCGCATGTACATAATAGGAAATGAGCATTTTGTGATTCTAAAATTTAAGGCCATTGACAACTGTGTCTTTTTACAGAGATTGAAGACTTATCTGTATATATTATAAACAGTGAAAAAATCCTGTTTATTCTCTGCAGTCTGAGGAAAATGGACGTCTAAGGTTAAGTCCCTTCCATGCAAGGTTTTAAAAAGCGGCCGCAACCGTTACGTAACGCCGTTACGCAACGGTTTTGGCGGTTACCGCCACCCGTTACGGCCGCTTTTGCAGTGTGATTGAGATTCACAGGTGTGTCGGCCGTAGCGGCTGCCGTAGCGGTGCTGTAACAGCCGTAACAGCCTGTTACGCACTGTTACGTAACGGTTCCAAACTGTTTCTTCCGAAAAAACACAAAAAAAAAAGCTAAAAATGGGGAAAGAGGGATAGAGAGAAGAGAGAAGAGAGAAGATAAAGAGACAAAATGGAGGAGCAAGAGATAGAGAGAGAGAGAAGAGGGAAGATGATAATAGGGCTAAAGTGTAATCGGACTCATTACACAAATACCCCCGTTTTCTGACTAATCCATTAGCAGAATTCAAATTTCATTTTATTCTTTGATAAGTGAAACAGGCTCAAATAACAGTTTTAAGACACTTATTCTTGATGTGTTATCTGGAGCTCCATGGGCATCCCCGTGCTGGTATATGCTATGAATAGTCCTTGCAAAGTTAAGAATTATGTCCATCAAGGTCCAGAAAATGGAGTATTATTGCTTGCTAGACCTTTGGATTCACAAGAAAATCAAAACTGCGTGGTTTGGGATCATTTTTTTAGTTTTCAGCTGAGAACAAGGTGCTCAGGGTACATCTGCAAGGAATGCAATGGAAGGTACTTGAATTGGAGACAGATTGCAGAAAATGCAATCCCAAATAAAAAATATCATGAAATCAAGATTATCAAGCCACAGTAATGCCAAATCTTTACCCAAACTATGCTCATGACAGATAATTTTCATTATAAAAAATAAAATAAAATTATTCATAATAACTTCCTTACATTAAATGCGCATGTACATAATAGGAAATGAGCATTTTGTGATTGTAAAATTTAAGGCCATTGACGGCTGTGTCTTTTTTCAGAGATTGAAGACTTATCTCTATATATTATAAACAGTGAAAAAATCCTGTTTATTCTCTGCAGTCTGAGGGAAATGGACGTCTAAGGTTAAGTCCCTTCCATGTCACTCTCAATGCATAGTAGATTCTGAGCTTATTAGTACATTCTCAGATTTTTATACTCGTAATAGGGCTAAAGTGTAATCGGACTCATTACACAAATACCCCCGTTTTCTGACTAATCCATTAGCAGAATTCAAATTTCATTTTATTCTTTGATAAGTGAAACAGGCTCAAATAACAGTTTTAAGACACTTATTCTTGATGTGTTATCTGGAGCTCCATGGGCATCCCCGTGCTGGTATATGCTATGAATAGTCCTTGCAAAGTTAAGAATTATGTCCATCAAGGTCCAGAAAATGGAGTATTATTGCTTGCTAGACCTTTGGATTCACAAGAAAATCAAAACTGCGTGGTTTGGGATTCATTTTTTTATTTTTTTATTTTTTTTTATTGACCTTTTCTTAATTTATTTATAGTTTGTAGTGAACTTTTTTAAAAAAAATATTTCAAAAACTTCACACTATCAGATTTTATTCAACTAGATGAAGCAAAAAAATAAAAATAAATATAAAAAATTTGGAAAAAAATAATCCAAAAAAAAAAAAAAGACTTTTTAGCCGTCTTTAGTGTACTTTTTTTTTAAAAAAAAAATTCTAATTTGTTTTACTTTTTAGAATTTTTTACACTAGATTTACTGGAAAAGTAAAATAAATAAATAAATAAAATTGACAAAAAAATTGGGGGAAAATATTAATGAAAACAAATATATATATATATATATATTTTAGTTGGATTTCAAACCACGACGATTCAATTTACTGCAAACAGTAATACTATACAAAACAATGATAAAAAAAGAAAAAGAAAAACAACAGTATCTGTACTCTAACCAATCACCCAACTAGAAGCACATATGGTGATTTGTAAAAAATTTCAGTCAAAAAATTCAAACAATAATAAATATGAATAAAAAAAAATATCATCAGAATTAAATTTTTTGAAACTTCTTGATTCATTTAACTTAAGATGTTAAAATCATAGAAATTTAGTTAAACAATTGGTTTACCAAAAAATGAATAAACAGGTAGCAAAAAATAAATTTTGGCAGGGTGTACCATCGGAATTTGTTTACACATTGTTCAACCTGGTCATGCTCGACTGTCGGATTATGCTACTACCCAACGCGTGTGCAACCATTTTTTTTTTTTTTTCTTTTTTTTGAAACTGAGATGTCCGGCTTCTACCGCTGTGCTGCGTCCACCGACTAATCCTCAGGGAGAGCAATCACAGCAGCCTACCGCTGCGGCTCCCCACTTAAATCCCAAAGTGTCCCAGAGGGGAATCGAACCCGTGACCATAATATACAATATGATATGAATATTATACAAACCATAATATATAATATGATATGAATATAAAGCAATTTATAGAAAATTAAAGTTGAGTGGGTAGGTTGTAGAGGTTTTGTTGACAAAAGATAAAATATGGGCTTAACAAAATTTATAGTCATATATAATTTTGGAAGACAAATTGAAAGATACATAAATAAAATAAAATATCTCATGATTAATAAAGAAACTTTTTAAAAAGTTGAAGGGAACACGTGCCTTACATGTGTCAACATTAGCTCTGTCCGTGCCTAGATCTTAAATTTGTGAAATAATTTGTGAAGGGATAAAGAATGGAAATGAAAAAGGAGATATGAAGTACAAATGATTTTTTATTTATTTTTAAATAAGTGAAGAATACCTTGAGAGACTTGATAGCCATGTTGTCTGAGGAGCCTAAAGCTAAGAGCCGTGGCATGCAAACTCTTCTGTTTTCTGTCATTAGATTTTGCTTGGACAGATATTATCCTATGGAGGGCTCTCTTTATGTCCCTGTCAAAGATGTACCCCAATCCTAACCGTTGGATGATGTCTACCAATTCAAGCAGAGCCGTTGGTTCAACTTCCACATCTTCATCATCAACCATTTTCCTCACTTCCTCCTCTAGTTTCCTTTGCCTCTCCTTGTATATCTCCTAAAATATTATACACACACCCACAAATAAGCAACCATATAAGTTATAAGAATGGTTGGGGTCCAGAACAGACGATGTAGCATAGTTATAATAAGCATTCAATTAGTATAATAATAAATAATATAGCATAATTTTATTAGTTTAAAAATTCTATAATTTATATAATGGGCAAAATCCATAATTTTGAAATTACAATATTATAACATGTGTTGCTACACTAATTAATATAATAATTGGTATGTATAACCGTATTGAAGTTATACACAAGAATAATACTGTACATACTAATTAATATATCAATTTGCATACTAATGTGTGGCATAATTTTAGAAATTTTAAATCTTTATAATTTATATAATGAATAAAATCATAATTTTAAAATGATAATATCATAACATATATTAATATATTAATTGATGTGGGTGTTATAAACGGATGTCCCGTAAAATCAATCAGTGTGTTTGGTTTGAGTTTTTTGGATTAAGTTTTTTGAAAATTGAGTTTTTTAATTTTCGTATTCTTTTATTTTTAGTGAATATTTTTAAAATTTTAAACATTTTTTTTTACTTTTTTAGATGCACCTTAGTTAGATGTATCTAAAAAGTAAACAAATTGTGAAAAAATATTTTAAAAAATTAATAAATACATAGAAATATAAAAAATGTACTGAATTCTTGTATTTTTGATATTTAGTGAATTTTTAAAAGATTTTTTTTATATTTTTTTACTTTTTAAGTATATTTATAAACAGCGAAGTGTGAGACCACTTCCCTCTTCTCCCAATCTCTTCTTCATCTGATTGTAACCTCGTCTCTGCAACTTTCACGCAACTCTTTCCATCAAATCGACAATTCTTCCTCACCGGCATCGCCGGTGAACACCATGGTGACCCTTTCCTTCAAACCCTGCAACCGTCAACCTTCATACAGGTGTTTGTACAGAGAAATAAGGGTTTTTGTGGGTTTCGATGGTGACTGGAGAGACAGAAAGGAACAACAGAAAAATTGTCTGTGAGGCCCACTAATTTGCTTCTGTGGCCATGGTGTTCGCCGGTGTGTCGAAATGATGAAAAGGGTTGTGTGAAAGTTGCAGGGGTGAGAGATTGGGGTCTCACAATTTGGTGTATTGGTAATTTTTTTTTTTTTTGGCTGTCCGTTTACGATAAAGCGGTTAACGCTGTAAACATATTATTTTAATAATTTTTTAATTTTTTACAAAAATAAAAAAAAGTGATATAATAATTTTTTTGATTAAAACTGAAAATTGTGAAACGAGACTTTAAGGATGATATGCTATCAAGGTTGACACCCCAAGCTGTCTTATGTAATTAAGACAAATTGGAAATTCCAACATAGCTAATTCTCCATTTCAATTATGATAATCACAACTTAATTCCATCTTCATTCTACTACGCCAAACGCAACTTAAATCTTTATAATCGTAAAATTACAAATGATAGTCACAACTCATCATCAAAAAAATATTGTCACAACTAATAAAAAATTACAACACACACAAAGCAAGTCATTCGTTATCTCCTTAGTTAATTATTTCACTTGTAAGATTTTCCGCTAGGCCATTGGTTGGAAACACTACAAGAACAATGTCACACATCAATTTATTTAGCATTTTTGTAGTTATAAAAACTCTACTTACTGTTTGACCAGTCTTGAAGGACTCCACAAAATCGCAAGTCCAAGTACTGGGCTGGTAACTGGCTGAAGGTCTGTTAGCCATTTGATGGCTGCTCACCAAGCTTTGAAACTAGGAATATTCCATGGAAGCACCTTGCATGCCTATTTTTAGCGAGACTGGTTTGGTATAAAATGTTAGGTAGGCGGAACAAACTTTTCTAGATGCTTGTATGGAGTACCGCTACACTGATACTAGAAGGTATAAACGGTTGGGTGGAAAGTGTATTTATGTGAATTATGGTGGGACTAAATTTTAGAGAGATAAAATTAAAGATTCAAAATATATATATATAGAGGGAGAGAGAGAGAGAGAGAGTACGAGGAAGAACTTTGCTTTGCTCTGTTTTGTGTGTTTACAAAGAGCAATGCTAGGTATCATGAAAAAACTTTCATGAAAATGATCATGAAAGATTTATGATCCTTGGATTACACTTAAAATAAAACACCACACACTAATCAAGGTAATCCAAGGGTCATAAATTTTTCATAATCAATTTCATGAAAGTTTTTTCATGATCCCTATCTTTTCTCGTTTACAAATGAAGAGCTCTTGCCTTTATATAGGCAAGGCTACCAACCCTCTCAACTAATGAAGATTAGCCAAGCACATATACATGTTGTATGTACTGACATTGCAACTTTGATGCAACACGTAATTGCAAACTTTTACATTTGACTTTAAAAAAATATATTTGTATATGTATAGTATAAATTAGTTATTTAATTTAGGAAAAAGTTAGGAATCATAAAAAAATTTCATGAAAATGATCGTAAAAAATTTGTGATTCTTGGATTATCTTGATTAGTGTGTGGTGCTTTATTATAAGCGTAATCCAATGATCACAAAGTTTTCATGATTATTTTCATGAAAGGTTTTTCATGATACCAAACATTGCTATTTAATTTAACACCCCCTCTTAATTAATAATGCGAAAGAAAATTTTGAATTGTTCCAATTTTTGTAATAACATTTGCTTTGGTAAAAATATCTACAAACTGTCCATTAGCATTGACGAACTCCAACTAAGTTTCTTCTTTGCCAATCAAATTTTTGATGAAGTGATGACAAAATTCAATGTGCTTTGTTCGTGTTAATGTAAATGTAAAATTACTACTACACACTCCACCAAACCTACCTCCACCACTCACTCCTATCACCTACTACACTCCACCAAACCTACCTCCACCACTCACTCCTATCAATATATTATAAAAACTAAAACAAATAAATACACTTAGTAAAAAAAATTAATTAATTTTTTTTTATATATATAAAATAGATTCAATTCACTCACTATTTTTCTAACCTCACTTAAAATTCACACAAGCTAATCCTCCTACAGAGGAGGATTACTAAGCCCCGTACATTACTAATCCTATAACATTTTGTTGCATCCAAACAATAGTTTGATGGGTCTCACGAATTAATAATCCAATCCACCCTCCCAAACACCCCCCATGAAACATGGCCTATTGGGAAGCCTAGTTTGGGATTTTTTTATTTTATTTTATTTTAGTCACAAAAATAAAATAAGTTTTTTAGTTCAATAAGATAAAATATCACACCAAATCTATAATCATTACATTATTTCTTTCATAAAAAAATCAAAAAAATTAAAAATCCTTTTCAAACAAAATTTTTTAACCTCAGACTAAAATAAAAAAAAAAAAAAACTAAACAGTTTGTTTTGCTTCACTTTTCTGAATTCAGTTTTCTAGAAATTGAGTTTTTTGTTTTTCATATTTTTCTGTTTTTAGTGAATATTTTTAAAATTTTAAGCAATTTTTTACTTTTTTAGATACACCTTACTTAGATGTATCTAAATAGTAAAATATTTGTGAAAAAATATTTTAAAAAATTAATAAATACACAAAAATATGAAAAATATACTAAATTTTAGAATTTTTTTTTGGTATTTAGTGAATTTTTTAAAGATTTTTTCCACAAATATTATACTTTTTAACTGTATTTATTTTTGGTGTGTCTAAAAAGTAAAAAAATTATTTAAAATATTAAAAAAAATTCAGTAAAAATAAAAAAATATGAAAAATAAAATAATAAAATTTTCTGAAAAATATTTTCTGAAACGGAAAAGCAAGCTGAATAGTTTACGGATAGCTAATAAGGAGGTGCCAAAACAGCAAAGTGTGAGACCCACTTCCCTCTTCTCCCAATCTCTTCTTCATCTGATTGTAACCTCGTCTCTGCAACTTTCACGCAACTCTTTCCATCAAATCGACAATTCTTCCTCACCGGCATCGCCGGTGAACACCATGGTGACCCTTTCCTTCAAACCCTGCAACCGTCAACCTTCATACAGGTGTTTGTACAGAGAAATAAGGGTTTTTGTGGGTTTCGATGGTGACTGGAGAGACAGAAAGGAACAACAGAAAAATTGTCTGTGAGGCCCACTAATTTGCTGCTGTGGCCATGGTGTTCGCCGGTGTGTCGAAATGATGAAAAGGGTTGTGTGAAAGTTGCAGGGGTGAGAGATTGGGGTCTCACAATTTGGTGTATTGGTAATTTTTTTTTTTTTTGGCTGTCCGTTTACGATAAAGCGGTTAACGCTGTAAACATATTATTTTAATAATTTTTTAATTTTTTACAAAAATAAAAAAAAGTGATATAATAATTTTTTTGATTAAAACTGAAAATTGTGAAACGAGACTTTAAGGATGATATGCTATCAAGGTTGACACCCCAAGCTGTCTTATGTAATTAAGACAAATTGGAAATTCCAACATAGCTAATTCTCCATTTCAATTATGATAATCACAACTTAATTCCATCTTCATTCTACTACGCCAAACGCAACTTAAATCTTTATAATCGTAAAATTACAAATGATAGTCACAACTCATCATCAAAAAAATATTGTCACAACTAATAAAAAATTACAACACACACAAAGCAAGTCATTCGTTATCTCCTTAGTTAATTATTTCACTTGTAAGATTTTCCGTTACGACATTGGTTGGAAACACTACAAAAACAATGTCACACATCAATTTATTTAGCATTTTTGTAGTTATAAAAACTCTACTTACTGTTTGACCAATCTTGAAGGACTCCACAAAATCGCAAGTCCAAGTACTGGGCTGGTAACTGGCTGAAGGTCTGTTAGCCATTCGATGGCTGCTCACCAAGCTTTGAAACTAGGAATATTCCATGGAAGCACCTTGCATGCCTATTTTTAGCGAGACTGGTTTGGTATAAAATGTTAGGTAGGCGGAACAAACTTTTCTAGATGCTTGTATGGAGTACCGCTACACTGATACTAGAAGGTATAAACTGTTGGGTGGAAAGTGTATTTATGTGAATTATGGTGGCACTAAATTTTAGAGAGATAAAATTAAAGATTCAAAATATATATATATATATATATAGAGAGAGAGAGAGAGAGAGAGAGAGAGAACTTTGCTTTGCTCTGTTTTGTGTGTTTACAAATGAAAAGCTCTTGGCTTTGTATAGGCAAGGCTACCAACCCTGTCAACTAATGAAGATTAGCCAAGCACATGTACATGTTGTATGTACTGACATTGCAACTTTGATGCAACACGTAATTGCAAACTTTTACATTTGACTTTAAAAAAAAATATATGTATATATATATAGTATAAATTAGTTATTTAATTTGGAAAAAGTTAGGGATCATAAAAAAATTTTCATGAAAATGATCGTGAAAAATTTATGACTCTTGGATTACCTTGATTAGTGTGTGGTGCTTTATTCTAAGTGTAATCCAAGGGTCACAAACCTTTCATGATTATTTTCATAAAAAATTTTCATGATACCTAACATTGCTATTTAATTTAACACCCCCTCTTAATTAATAATACAAAAGAAAATTTTGAATTGTTCCAATTTTTGTGATAACATTTGCTTTGGTAAAAATATCTACAAACTGTTCATTAGTATTGACGAACTCCAACTAAGTTTCTTCTTTGCCAATCAAATTTTTGATGAAGTGCTGACAAAATTCAATGTGCTTTGTTCGAGCATGAAAATTTGAATTTTTCGTCATGGCAATGGCAGACATATTATCTCAATAAATTATTATGGGGTCCATTTGCTTTTAATGTAGATCTGCAAGAATTCTTCTAAGTTATACAGCTTCACAAGCAACATCGATGGCTAAAATGTATTATGCTTCGACTGATGAGAGTGACACTGTTTTTTACTTTTTTGAGGACCATGACATTGCTTTTGAACCCATGCACAACATCCATATGTGCTTTTTCGATCATCAATGGAACGTGTCCAATCACTGTTAGTGTATCCAGCAAGACTCTTCGGCAAGACTGTTGTTTTCTTCCTTCATATACTTGATCTCAAAAAAATTTGTGCCTTGCAAATACCGTAATATTCGCTTAACTACAGAAAAATAGATTTGGTTGGGTTCAATCATGAATTTGGAAGTTATGCTGATTGGATAGACAATATCTGACCTGGTATTTATGAGATATAGGAGTGTAAAAATGGCTCGCGGCCCGTAGCGATCTGGGATGGACCCGGGCTCGAGCCTAGTCCAAGCCCCTGGGCTTGGGCCTGAGCCATCATTTTGAAACCCGGCCTGGCCTGTGGCCCAACCCATTAACCTGCTTAAGGCCCAGTCCTCCCGAGGCCCAATGTCTTTTTTAATGAAAAATAATAAAATTTTGGTAGAAAAATAATAAAATTTTGATAGAAAAAAATTTAAAAAAACAAAAAAAAATGGTCAAGCCTGCCCAAGCCTAAGGCTAGGCCCAGGCCCACCAACCTGTCCAAGGCCCGAATACCCCGGCGCCTGGGCCTGGGCCTGGGCCTGGGCCTAATTTTTTAACTTGTGACCTGACCCAAATTTTGACGGGAGCCCGCGAGGCCCGATATGGGCCAGCTTAGGCCCTAGCTCGAGTGGGCCAGACCGGGCCAAATTTACACTCCTAGTGAGATACATGAGTGATCCAACCAAACTGCGGTGTAGTGTTTGGTTGACTTTTGGCGCTCCATTTTCTAGCTGTAATTTTTCATTTGTCGCCATGGGTATTGAAATTGGTTTGCATGCTGACATCTTGAATCTTTTCAGCAAGTATTCTGTGTACTTTTCGTTCTTCTTTGATCTGCCACACTTCAATGCCAAAAAAATATTTTATTAAGTCAAGATCTATCTTTTCATATTCTTGCATCATAGCCTTTTTGAAATCATTTAGCATCATAAGATTAGTGCTAATGAAAATTAAATCATCAACGTAAAGGCAGACAATGAGGAAATCATTGGTACCTCTC